CTTCAACACAGAGCATCTTCAGAAGACAAGTTGATAAAATTAATTATAAAAACTGTATTGTTCCATTTTTGAACAGTTTGATATGTATATAATTATAGTTATAGTATAATAAAATCTGTTTTATGATTGACAGTAACAGGAGAGATAAGAAGAAAGTTAAAAATAGTGATATAGCAGAAACAACAATGACCATAATATTCATCCTTATGTTAACATAATAACTTTTCTATTTAGAAAATCCCTGAAGAAACGCAAACGTCATCAATGCAACCACCCCACAAAACCCTAACACAGCGTGAGATTATTCCAAGCCAGGAGAAAAATGCCTATACCTTAATACATGACCTGCACSAACAATGCAAATACTAAGACCAGGAGAAAACCAAAGCTTAAAGGCTATCACATCCACCCCCAAMKGCCAAGCCARCAAGAGGCAGACAAAAACATAAACTCAAAGACAGGCCGCAGTCAAACAGCCACTTTGTCTAAACCAGAAGCCGAAATCCTCCAAACTGTAAGCAGCGGAAGMCCCAGGCAGCTACACATGCCCCCCRCATTGTTCCATACAGGACACATGTCACATCAACACAACCCCACCCCCCAGTCCTGAAGCCGTGGTGCGAATCTGCCACGAGAGCAAGAAAAATGGGCCAGCAAAAAATCCTAAAATCTCAGACAACCCTAAAGCCAGCMTAAATGACATCATTGACTGCCAGCCAATCACTCTGCCTTAACATTTATAAAAACCACCAAAATCAAACCACGACTACCCAAAATCCACAAAAGACATCAGAATGCAAGCACACAAATCAAAGTCCAACAACCCCAACCTATCCAAACCCTGGTTGAYGTTCCAGTCACAATGCATGCCTTAGCCCCAGAAACCCACAGCCAGTCCCCACCAAAAATCTTCCACATTTATTAAAGCATAAAGATTCCCAGTATATTTTGTCAGCAGATATCTCAATGCCATTGAAATTAGGTTTTCCAGACGGACTTTATTTTAGCTGAACATACAAGCTGCCAAAAAAAAATCTTGACCTTTTGAGGTTTATTCTTTTTTAACCTTTCATCTTCTTTTGTGTCCACATGAAAGCAGACTTTTCAGACTCAAAAACAGCCTCACCATAGATGGCTACATCTGCGGTATGTCTAAATTCTCTAAGACGTGGAAAGTGGGGTGCATAAACACAGCATTATCCCTCTCCATCCCGACTGTTGACTGTCTCAGACATAAAAACACACATATTCTGTGGATGTGTTTCCAGCACACAGAAAAATGTCTTATGTCTTCAAGGGATTTTTTTTTTCAAAGGCCTATGAGAGCTGCAATGTACTTGACTCGTTAAATGAGGTTTAAGTCGTCTGTGTCAATTGGAGGCGGTGCAGAGCCTTAAGTATTTTGCACATTAATGCGCTTTTGAGAATATTACCCCGGGGTCCTGTTTCTCAAGGAGACAGGGGTGGGATGTTTTCTATGTTGCTATTGTAAACTTTTTGTTGTGTGTGTTCTGCACATCTCTGTTGTTGAGAGAAAGTGATGGTGATTATTCAGATTTCATGCCTTGTCTGGATGTTAATTATTTACTGTGGGCATGAAATTCGTGTGAATGCCAGGGATTTGTGTATACAAACATGCTTCAGATCACAGGAAAAATGAGAGGGAGAGACGTAGACGTCAGAGCGGGAGCTGTGGGGAGGGGTTGGTTCAGATCTCTGTGCATTACCCCGTAGTGGAGTATTTTCTAATTAATACTCAGCTTTGTTTACAAACGCTTTGATTTAATTAGGTAACGAAGAAGAGAGTTGGATTAGCTGTTAATTGATTTAATTATCCAATTTGTTTGTCTCAGGCATGATTCCAGCAGAGCTGCAACAGCTGTGGAAGGAGGTGACGAACGCTCATGTGAAGGAGGAGCACAACCACAGCAGCAACAACGGCCACCGGGGCCTCGACCTGTCCTCCCCGGCACCGCCAAAGAACGCCATCATCAACCAGCATGCTTCCACCAAYGGCCAGTATATGAGTCACAAAAGAGAAGTGTAAGTTTTATTTTACTTTTTCTCCCTGTTTAATGCTTTGGTAGGGGTCAGTGTACCATAAATTTAGATGTCTTTTTTGTTGTTGTTATTCTTTCTTTATTATTTTGAGCTGTTGTAAAAATGTATTACAGCATTATCACCTGATAAGGCTTCTTTCTTATTTTAGAAAAATGTGTTATGAAACACAAGACAGACTTTACGTTTACTGCTAATGGCCCTGTCACACTATAASRTTTTAGACAACTTGTGATTTTTTATGTCTAAATTACTAATAAATGTTACATAGTTGATCAATTTGTTAGCATTGCAGTATTTACAGACCAAAAAGTAGGCTTCCAAATGATATTTTTAATTCCATCTTAAACATAGATGTCTTTAAAGCTTTCATAARTTGACACAAGTTGTCTAAAATGCTGTAGAGTGACAGGGCCTTTACCGACCTTAGCAAACACAACAAATGGTTCAAACTCAGTCAGATTCACTGATATTGAGTTACGATTGGTTGTGGTTGTAACTGAGCATCCTTGACTCGTACTCCAACTGCTAAGCATTGCACAAWGTCTTCATTTAAAACTTTGGCTTTGAAATATCTCAAGAGCCAATGGACAAAGGTCARTTAAACTTATAGAACATAATCATTGTATGCACATCTACAACTGAGTCGTGCAGTTTAAGATGGCAACACCAGCTAATCAACATTAACTTCAGATTTTGAGCTAAAGTTTGTGTAAATAAAAGCTGAGAGTCATTTACAACAATATCTTAAGCTCTAACAAATCTTTCAGATTCACAGGAGATTCTGCAGAAATGATTTACAGTTTGACCAAAGTGGATTATCTCAATTGAACACTTTGCCATAAAATRTGGTGAACAATATGCATTCCTTAAAACTTCAGAAGATCTTGTAGGGGAAAGTCAGGGGAAAATCTGTTTGTTTGTTTGTTTGTTTGTTTGTTTGTTTGTTTGTTTGTTTGTTTGTTTGTTTGTTTTGTTTGTTTTTATTTATTTTTTGGTGTTGTCAATAAACACAATGGTTCCTGACTAATTCAAAAACTCCTTCAATTTTTTTTTTACTTTGTCAGATTCATTTTAAATGCTTCCATAAACTCCCTTCAGTGCTCTTTCATGTGAGTGGAGAGTCTTCCAAAAACTCAGGACTGAAAAATATATTAATTTTGGCATCCTAAAAGAGAAAAATTGTGTTTTTTAATATGCCGTGAACTAAATAAATTGTCTGTGATGAATTTGGGACCGGTCCAGTGTATATACCCTGTCCCCGTCAGTGACAGCTGGATGTGGAGAGCAGCAACACTCATGACTCAGAAAGGAAAAGCTGGTAGACATAATGAATGGATAAATAAATAGCCGATTTAACAAAACTGAACTGAGAAGTTTTGTAAAATTAAAGGCCTCTACTGAGCTAAAATAAAAAAATAAATAAATGAAACTGGATATTTTTATATTATTTATTGACTAGTTTATGGTGTACAGTAATAAAGAAAGTATTTTTCATCAGTTTTGTAATATGGCTGATTTTTCCTCCTAGGAACAGTTATTGTCATAAAGTTAAAGAACAACTTAAGGGTAAAAAAATGTTCACGAGGCTAAAAAATACTTATTTATTAATAGACACTGGTTAAGGTTTTGATTGAAGCTGCGTGCCCTGTACCATTTGTATTCAGTTATCGTTGTCTTAGCATAAAAGCAAAACATTTCCTTACATACTAGGAATTTGTTGACGTGAAGACTCAAATCTYTAGTTTAGGAATAAAGAGAAACATAATAAAAACAGAAAGCTATTACACTGTAAAAGAAAAACAACCACATGTATCGTCATTTCAAAACATAGATGAATCATCCTTGAAAGGCTTTTGCTCTCTGAGTTGTGTGTGTGAGCGAGCGTGTGTTTCTTTAAGGAAGGAATTAATTTGGCATCTTACACATTTGCTTGTTTTCTTGCACAAAAGCTGATCTTTGAACTGCAAGTGCGGAGCCTCCAGGCACCATGAGCTCACTGCATAACATCTGACTTGTGTTTCAGTGATCAAAACCTATGTGTCGGTATGAAAGCAATGCCGATGAAATCATGTTTAGTCAAGTRAATCAGTGGGCCTCTGGAGGTGAAGAGATGCTGCTGGTGTGGGAGAGGAGGGACAGAGAGGGTTAAAGAGATGATCTAAGTGGCACCAAGAGGATGCACCCCAATTCTCTGAGGGAGAGAGCAAATATAAAACGGTAGCTTCAAACAGATCTGGTTTTAAGACCTACCTGTGTAGACTTACGGAGTGTTTAAGTTGCAGCGGAGTCAGTGAAGGAGTTCACCACCTGAATGTCTGGTTTCTGACAAATCGACTCGCTGACTCCATCACACACTGTCGCAAACAGGGAAACAAGGTGTGCATTGATGGCAGCAAAAAAGGCAGCTGAAGGCTCCACGAAACATCGGAAAAGACAAGAGCTGGCAGCCCCTCTGCCTCGCGCCGACTGTCAGAGATTAAAGAAGATGTCAGCAGCAGTTTAACACAGGCTTAAGTGAAGAAGGCAGTCTTAGTCTGTATATTCAAGTATCTTCAATCTGTCAGAAAAGCAGGCAGTTTATTCTCATTCACCCCATCTGCTCAAGGAAGTCGATTACCCACGCACACTTTTTAAATGTACAAGTACTAAGAAAGGATGGCTCATACAAAGTGAGCAGAAAACATTGCCCATCAAATGCTGATTGATGCTAATTTAGATTCCCACAACTAATAATCGTTTCCTGTGTTAATTTTAAATCGCACAACTATCAGAAGCATTTTTTCCTCTCTTTTGATGATGCAAACTCAATTCTAATCAGACTCCATGGAAAGAAAAAAATGAAATATTATTAAGTAAGATTATTCTAAGCAAGGCTGTGGGAGAAACGTCTGTGTTATAATCCAGGGATTTGAATAATCAGGTTGAAGATAATGGGCTGGGCCGGCCCAGGCGTAAATAGAGAGCATCCACTCATCCTCCCAGCGCTGAACTTAATGAACTTTTAATTGATGCGGTTTTGCGAGTCCTTTTGTCATGCAACTGAAACAAGCCTCTCTGCAGATGGGCCTGTTTTCCCAACTGGCTTCAGATTGGTTTACAGCGGGCCCTAAGTACCGTGTAGTTAGTTTCATGTGTCATATAAAATCTGCCCAGGCACAACGACGCCTGCAACTAAAACCTTAAGTGCATCCACAGGAATCACTCACTAGCTTTGCACTTCCGTCTTAAGGAAGAGGGAGAAATTCAATCACTGCCGCCTTGACACACCGAAAACGAGGCACGTGTTCCTGCTTTTAGTTGTTGCTAAGATCGCTCCGGCGAGGCAGGCTGGGATTGTTTGTCTAAATAACATCCCTGATATGACCAGAGCCTGAGTCACTCTATCTGGTGGGCCGTTTTGTTTCTCTGCTGCTGAAAAGAGACGCACAGATCCGCATATACCCCTGTGAGCCAGGTCATCTTTATTCAGTGATTTGCTTATTTAAATCAAATATGCCTGATCTGTATCTGACACAAATTCCCAATACAGAGCTGCATCAGCTTTGTAGAGAGAGGGTGGGGGGCGGGCATCCCACAAAGCACTTGGCCCACTTTACTTCCCAACAACCATCAGTAACAACAGCTCAGGGACTGTAACGCAGCAATCTGTTAAGGAGATAAATAATCAGATTTGGCACTCCTCTCCCATCTCTCTCTTGCTTTTCATTTGTCTTGCACGAGAAAAAAAACTAATTAAATCATTTAGGGTAAAGCATGCAGCCGTACCCGGAGGAGGAAAGGATCCAGGAAACATTTAGAGTGTTAGCAGGAGGGGGGGGGGGGGGGGACAGGTATGGATGGAGGGGAATAAACCTCTAAGACTATGACCTAGCTCCATGGGCATCAATCTTCCCATTTTTTCTGATAGATTGAGTCCATCAGCACAAGATGCCATAGTTCCTGACTTGTTTATGGCCCAAAGCATCCCATCAAAGTAAGTGATCTTGAAAACAACTGGCTAGCAGCTGTCAGATACATCTCTGCRCCGTCTCTCCGATGTGTCTACACTGAAACACAGAGCAACACCTGGAAGGTTTGCTTTCAGTCAGACCCGGTCTGAGTGATTCTGCTTCTCTAAAGAGCGCAGACTTTTCATCATTCCCAAAAGATTAGTTCAGTGTTCCTTCCTCATGCCACCTGACAGTGAAACATTCTGATTGAACTGTCAGAATGATTAATCAGTTTTGAGGAAAAAAATAAATACCATTCTCTTCTCCTGTTACACTAATGTAGCTCATTTGGTGTAAATTCTGTCATTTATCAGTATTTAACCATCCGCCGTTTAAAAGTGCTCTTCTGCCACCAGCCACTCACAGCGTTTTGTGCTCGCTGATTCCCAGCGCTCTCCACATTTCAATATCTTATTAAAACAGAATTAACCAACAAGCCTCCTTGCAAAGAATTAAAAAAAGGATCTCTTTAAATTAAAAACCAGCGTCACCTTCGCCAGTTCACACATTTCCTTGTTAAAAACTCATTATAATTGGTCGTCTGCCATCTATTTATTAGCTGTATCAAAACAGAGGTCTTAATGTGAATGCATAATTCATAATTGAATAAAAAAATTTGATTTTTGAAAGCGGGGGGGGGGGTCTGCTAACAGCATTCATGAATGCTCGACTGCCTCCTAATTGCAATGCAATTATCACATGTTATGAACAATGTGAACTCTTAAGCAAGCAATTATAACACAAGGAAACCTGTGCTGACCTTTAAAATATCCTACTTGATGTGCAGCTTTGCTAACATTGATACAAATGAGATTTTAATCTGATTATTGGTTTACTTGATACAGCAGAATTGACATGCATATATATATAT